CCCGGCGCTGGCAGAGGCACACGGTCGCTGCGGGTGACTCGAGGCCGCGGCGGTGATGCCGGGTGCTGAGGGAGGGGCTGGGCTCAGGAACTTGAAGTGGGTGCACGGAGAAGGGGAAGCTGTGGGGCAGGGGAGGGTGTGGGGCAGTGGGGCCGGGCCGGAGGGCTGGCTGGAGTTGGGGGTGCCCTTGCTGGGGATGAGCATGTAGAGCGGGTGAAGGCCCTGGGCATGGGGAGGTGATGGTGGGGGGTGGGGGGGATGTCACTGTTGGGTCCCTCTGAGACCACCCACCCAGGCACAGGCTGGCCGCCCCCCCCTCGCTGGGTGCGGGGCCCGAGGCCGTGGCAGCGCGACTCTGCCAGCTGGTGCCGTGCACCCTCGGTGCACACGTGGCATGAGCGCGACGGGCCTGAGCGCGACGGGGGCGGGCAGTGGGCGCAGCGGGGGTGCGGGGCCAGCGTGGCCCCCCAGACCCTGGCCCTCGAGGGGCGGCTGCTGCCCCGCGCGCGGAGCAGGAACTTCTCCTTCGGGGCGGGTGGCGGATGATGAAACCACAGAGAAATCTCTCCTGGCAGCGCGCGGGCTGCTGGCGGGAGCCCCCGGGAGCCCGCGCTCCCCCTGCGCCGCCACCGCCGCCTTTCCATGGTAACCCCACCGCGGGAGCCGGCAGGGTGCCGGCGGGGGAGGCCGCCCCGTCTGGGGGGTTGGCGCCCGCCCGGCTCCCCACGGCAGAGCTGGCGTCCCCGACATGCCCCGGGAGCTGTTGTGTCCACACCCCAGCGAGCCCCGGGGCGGCCGGAGGACCTGGCGAGGGGCTGGGCTGAGACCTGTCAAACTCGCTTCGTGCCAGGGAGGTGACGCTTGGGTGGCCGCGCAGGCAGCGGGGGAGGCGGCCGTGTCCGATGCCGGTGCCGTGGCTGGTGACCTTCAGAGCGCCCGGTGCCTGGCCGCGCTCCGTGTCCGGGGATGGGTGGCCGGTTGGCGTGCATGCCGGTGTGGCAGGAGCGGCAGGGCCCCGGTGTCCCGTGCCAGCAGAGCCGGTGGCGTGACTTGGCGGGGCCGTGGGCGGGCGGGGGGACCGAGCCGTGGCGAGGGAAAATGAAAGCAGGTGATGCGGAAGGAGAAGTAGGTCAGGCGAGCGCTGGCCTCTCCCGGCAGCCTCGGCTGCGCTGCGTGCTCCGCTCTGCCCGGCTCTCCCTGCCGTGTCCCCGGGCCCCATGGGCAGCGGCTGGAGGGGGTGGTGAGTACGGGGTCCTGCCCCCAGGTGCCGGGTCCTGGGCAGGGTGGGTGCCAGACGCTGCTCGCCCTGGTTGCCGGCGGGCTGGCGAGCGTGGCCGGGCTGGCTGGCACGCAGTAGGCACAGCAGCGTCCCGGCTATTTTGCTTCGGTCGCCCTCCCACCAGTGTCCCTGGGGACATGGGGGTCCCTGGGGGCCACGGGGAGGATGGTCAGGACGATGCTCCGCTTCTGGCCCGCTGTGGGGCCGAGGAGGGGAGGGCGCGGGGATTCCCATCCCGCTGGGGCCGTGCAGAGGAGCCGGCAGGGAGGGGACATCCCGCTGGGGCTGGGGACGGCTCGGGGGCGGCCCCGCGTGCCACAGAGGGGCTCCGCTGCCAGCCACCCCCTGGCTCTGCTGTGGGGCTGGGACCATCGCCCTCCCCATGGCGCAGGGCTGGCCGGGGTCTTGCTGGCGGCTCTGTGTGGGTCAGGGAGGCCGTGGCAGGCACGGCCCTGCCGGCAGCTCTACGTGGGCTCGGGGGGGATTAGAGCC